TTTGATGTCCTCTTTACTTTTAATAATTGTTGGCAATTGTACAGTCCTCCACATAACTATACAGCCACCCTATTTTTCGAAATTTTTCCAGCTTAAATATGAATTTGGAAATTTTTACACTTTAATATAATAGACAAGCAGCAAATGGACCGATTATTATGCTTTTTCAGAAATTATTAAGTTTTATTCAGTTATTTTTCACTTTACCTGATAAAATTACCTCCACATAACTATACAGCCACTTGTATTTTCGACCTTAGGAGTGGTCCGAAAAATCTACAAAAATTCCTCTAAACATATCCATTGATATGTATAAAAAATACAAAAGAAATGAAGATCTTATGTACTCCCATCATTGAGATCTGAAAAGCCAAAAATCAACGGAGAACCGGGGGTAAACGTCTTTAAAAAATATTTTCAACCCCTTTCAGGTGAAGTAAAAATTTCATTTTGGGCTTATTTGAAAGCCCTTGAAATTTGCTACAAGATAGCATCAATTTTATTTTCCGAAAAAATTCACCTCGAAGACAATGTTATAAACTTTCAGGTCACAAAAATCACTCAAACGCCCCCCAAAAAGTGATGAAAATGTAACTTACAAACTAAACTCATTATTTCTCAAAGAATAATTTTTTCTGGATAATGAGATGAAAACTAACTTGTAGCAAATTTCAAGGGCTTTTAAATAAGTCCAAAATAAAATTTTTATTTTACCTGTAAAGGGTCGAAAATATTTTTTAAAGACGTCCACCCCCGGTTTTCAGTTGATTTTCGGTTTTCAGGATCTCGATGATGGGAGTAAATAAGATCTTCATTTCTTTTGTATTTTCTATACATATCAATGGATATGATTACAGGAATTTTTGTAGATTTTTCGGACCACTCCTAAGGTCAAAAATACAAGTGGCTGTATAGTTATGTGGAGGTAATTTTATCAGGTAAAGTGAAAAATAACTGAATAAAACTTAATAATTTCTGAAAAAGCATAATAATCGGTCCATTTGCTGCTTGTCTATTATATTTAAGTGTAAAAATTTCCAAATTCATATTTAAGCTGGAAAAATTTCGAAAAATAGGGTGGCTGTATAGTATTGTGGAGGACTATAGTATAGTGTAGAGTAGAGGTCGGCAAAATCGCGTTTGCGGGAACCCGCATGCGGGATTTTTTTTAAAAATCTTTGCGGGACGGGATCCCGCGGGAAAAATCCCGCAAAATCCCGCATCCCGCAAAATCCCGCAATTTAAATTTGCGGGATCCCGCGCGGGATTGCGGGATTTTCCAAAAATCGTTGAAATTATCAATATCTATTGAAAAAAATCAATTTCCTAATCATTAACGAGTTCTTAACGGGTTCTTAACTGTATCATACTTCGTACCAAATTACGAGTACATGTTGGTACAAACGATAAGCACTTATCCAGGTCCCTAATTATCAAAAAAAAACATAAAGGGCAAACTTATACATATTCGTCGGAAAATTCGAGTATACGAATTAGAATAGCTTGAGCTGAAACAAATGTGATCGGTCAATCATCTTGATCTAACAATGTGGACAATTTTGTTTCGATGTAATAAAGATGATTCCATGGGCGGCAGGCGAAAATTTTGGAAGGCCAAGTATTCATATTCCCTCCTTTTTCTGCGCCGCAGGCAAAAATTTCGAGATTTTAGGAAGGCCAACGACCAAAATTCTTGTTTTTCTAGCGCCGCAGGCAAAAATTTTTTGAGTTTAGAAGGTTAGGAGCAAAAATTCTCCATTTTCCAAAAATCCCGCAAAAGTCAAAAAATTTTGCGGGAAAAATTTGCGGGATTTTTTTAAAAAAATCTTTGCGGGACGGGATCCCGCGGGAAAAATCCCGCAAAATCCCGCATCCCGCAAAATCCCGCAAATCGAAAAAAGTGCGGGATTGCGGGAGCGGGACCCCGCAAAATCCCGCGCGGGATCCCGTCCCGCGCCGACCTCTAGTGTAGAGATCGTTGTCAACCAAAGGTTCTATTTCTTGAGCTTTAATTATTTAGATTATTTATATTCACTTCAAGACCAAAGGCAAATAGGAGCTGTACAAGACCAATAAAAAGGGAAAAGTATCACTTAGCTTTGAACAGCATCCAAATTGCCTGGCGAAAGAATAGCTTACCTTTAGTTACGCAAATAATAATATTGGCCCCTATTAATTTACCATCAGCCAAATACAAACGAATCGGATCTTGTAGCCCATTGCTCCACTAAAAAAATAATAGAAATTTTGTATTTACTTTTCATTTAACCATTTGTTCAATTTGTTCATTTATTTCTTGATGTTGCTCAGCAAAGAAAGCAAAGTCAAAATTTTCAGAGTTAATTAATTTATAAGGAACATTTTTGATTTGACTGAGATACTCCTTAAATTAATTTTTAAAAATTAAATTAAGATATCATTACAATATAAATTTCGTTAAATTTCTCTCGAGCAAGTTCCACTTCATATTTATTAATAAAATCACGAAAATATAAATTTGTTTGTTTGATTGAACACAATTCTTCATAATTGAGGAATTTAAAGATATCCAGTTGAACCTCAGTTGGTAGAGAAAACATTTTTCAAAATTTAATAAAAACACTAAGATTAACTGAAAAAATGCTAAGAAAAGCTTATATTAGTTAATGTGCTCAAAAATAATTAAAAATAAATTAACAGGCATTAAATTTTTTAAGTAAGATTAAAATAAAAATTAAACAAAGATATGAGCTTAAAATAAATTGCTAATGATAGGGTTGTCGATTCTCATAAATCTAAGGATATCCGGAACCGAACCGAAAAATCCTCGGTTCTTCGGTTTGTTTGGTCCAGAACCGACAACTCTACTAAAGACATCAATTTGCATTAAAGTGATCTAACCAAAAACGGCAGTACGTAATGATGCTCCTTTTTCAAAATTTAATAAGAGCACTAAGATTAGCTGATCTTTTTTTGAAAATCAAATTTTGAATATTTAGATAAAAAACAGACTAAAAATCATTTTAAATGATTTTAAACAAAAATGATTGAATTTTCAGAAATCTAAAACAAAAATGAATGGCAATGTATATGTAAGAAGAACATCTCTTCTTTATAAGGTCAATTTGTTTTATTAATTCCCATTGCCTACTTACAAAAATTGCTGTCGTTTTTAAAAATTGATGAGTGTAATTCAATAATTACACCGAAAAATCCTCGGTTCTTGCTGTACAAAGTGAATTTTTATATAAATGTTAATTTTTGAATGATAAAGAGAAATTGAGAAAAATGTATTTTTAATCTTTGGTTGAATGCCAAAGAAAACAAAAATATTTTAATTTGATGAAATCTCAAAAAAATACATTGAAAAAACTTGGAAAGAATTTTTTTAAATGTTTATCAAAATACAAAATTTGAAAATCAATTTTTAAAAAGTAAAAATAGGTATCAGGGTGGCCTTTTCCAAACCCTAAAATAGGGCGCAGGTACTCAAAAATAGGGAAAAATAGGGCGAAATCGGTCAAAAGTAGGGCAAAAAATAGGGAATTATTTTAAAAATATAAAAATAATTAAAATTTCGAATAAAAATCTTTATTCCGCATGTTTTCAAATAGTTTTACTAAATTGAGCAGAGCAAGATGAAGCTGTATCGACCACGACCACGGTCGTCGACCACGACCACGTCAAGATGACTGTCGTTGACCACGACCACGGTCGATGACCACGTCAAGATGACTGTCTTTTTAGCGATTGGCTCAGGAAATCGCTAATTAAGGACAAGGAAAAACTTCTAAGTAAATTTAAACAAATTTATTTACTTTAATTTAATTTAATTTAACAACTATATTACAAAGTGTGGTGATTATAGGAAAGGTGAATAGTAATTAGTAATTAATGGGAATGCTGGGAGTGAAGTGAGAAGAATAGTTCAGGAAGAAGCACTGAATGGAAGAATACAATTAGTGGAAAAAAGTGATTGTCTTTTAAAGGGAATAAAAAGTATATGCTTTTAAAGATAAAAACTTTAGATAAAGAAATTCTGTGGGAAAACGTTGAAGAATGTAAAGGGGATGAGTAATTATAAAATAATAATTGTAAATTAATTATAATTTCGCGTTGAGAAACGCGACATCTTCGACCACGACCACGGTCGTCGACCACGACCACGTCAAGATGACTGTCGCCGACCACGACCTCGGTCGTGACCACGATCACGTCAAGATGACTGTCGCCGACCACGACCTCGGTCGTGACCACGATCACGTCAAGATGACTGTCGTCGACCACGACCACGGTCGCCGACCACGACCTCGGTCGTGACCACGATCACGTCAAGATGACTGTCGTCGACCACGACCACGGTCGTCGACCACGACCACGTCAAGATGACTGTCGTCATCTTGAAATTTTAAAAATTTATAAAAATAGGGCAAAATATGGCAAATGTACAAAATAGGGAAAAAAATGGGGCGAAAAGATCTAAAATAGGGAAAATCCTCTATAATTAGGGTAAAAAGGCCACACTGATAGGTATTCAAAAAAATTTTCTGATCTACCCAGAAATTGCTCGGCACTACTGAAGATGAGGGTGTCGGGTGCCTTTTTTCGGTAGATATGTAAAAAATGGTCAGTCTTTTTGATAACATAAGGTCTAGGCAGACTTATTTTAATAAAAGTTCATAGTACTATCGCATTATATTTGTTATTACTAGAGATCTTAGCAGTGTCGTATGAGATCGAAAATTGAAATTGGTACAGATTGTCTAAATATAAATAATTTTATAAACCGAACTGTTTCGCACTTTCCGATTGGATTATCCCGCGCGTACTTCTTAGTACTTATGTATTTAATTAGCAATATTTAAAATATATTGTCAGGCTTGAACACGTTAAAAGTTGATGAAAATTAATTATGTAAAACTCAAATAATTTTATCGAAATTCAATGAAAAATAACATATATTTAAAGAATATCGTTGTCCAATAAAACAAATAAACTTTTCTTTTTCATCCCCTCAAATTCTATACATTCATTTTTCTGATTTGAACGTAACTAATCAATATAGGGCTCATCTCTTGATTGCAGAATGAGAATCTCACTTTTGGAGAATAAATATTGGCAATTTGATAGTCTGTAATTTTTGCATTAGCTAATTGTTTAATTTCAACTTTTTCTGCTCTTTCACTTAATTCAAAATCTGGGGAAGTAAAAAAAATTAAAGTAATAAAAGTTGCCATTTTTGTACAATCTCTCGATGTTGCTATATACTAAAATTTGAATTTATTTTTAACTTCTCTGTAATAACTTACTTCTATTATAAGATCATGAAGCTGTATTAACATGGAACTTTGTATTTGAATTTTTGGGAATTTGTTACCCTCATTGATTATAGTATTGTATAAAATATTTGTATGCTTTTCTGTCATGTCAACATTATCCAAATTGATATCAAGTTCAGAAATTGATAAATTATTTAAAGAAAATTTCAAAATATTTTCAAATGTTTTATTGTTAGCCCATAAACATGCTTCTCGAATGTTAAGAGGAATTGTAGTATTGTTGTTATCAAATAATATATTAATCATTTCTGGATTAAATACGCCTACTTTAAAATAAGCACGTTCAAAAGCGCACTTAAATAGTTGTTCTAACAACATCGAACAATAATCATTTCTTCAATATTTTTTGGAATGTTTGGCAATTTTAGAAAATAGTTTTTTTCCTTGTTAAATAAATAGTGAGGTGTTTTCTCAATATAAACAAGAAAGTCGCTTTCAGATCCTAATTTATCTAAAACCAACGGAATTGATTTATCTATCGCTGTCTTCCACTGAAAAAATAGATGTAATTTATTTAGAAATTAATTTAACCTTCTTCTTAAGTTGATCAGTCAAAATAAATTCAAAAACTCCGGTCTGAAGTTCTGTATATTTATTTGATTGTAAATATTGAAGAAGATCAAGATGAATCCAAAATTAATTTAAATAAAAAAAGTTATTTAATAAATATTTACTAGACAGAGAATATTAAATTTCTTTCGTGCCAATTCCCCCTCATATTCATTAATTAAATTGAAAAGGTAAAAATTTGTTTGTTTAACAGAAAATAATTGGTTGAAATCAAGACATTTCAATATATCAAGCTGAACTTCAAGTGGAAGAGAAAACATTTTAAATTTTATCTAAAAAAGCTTATTAGCCAAAAAAGATTCGAAAACAATTAAATATCCAATATGTAATTACCAAGTAACAAAAGTTTTAAATTAGATACAACTTTACTGACCCAGACACTGGACGTAATATTAAAAAAGTAGAAGGAAGGAGCAATGTGGAACAGCACGACATTGCTTTGTGAGTTATTTTGCTGAATTTATGTGCTTTGTGAAGGAGGAGACATTTTTGAACAAATTATGCTTGCTTGAGGTAAATATTGGTCATTTTGCCTTCCTCTTTTTTTCGGGACAGGTAAAAGTTACCTTTACCAACCGAAGTTTTACCGATCAAAGGGCAGAAGCTTTTTCAATTAATTTATAGTGGAAGACAATTTTTATATTGTATTTATTAAAATGATTTTTAAATGTCAAAATATAAATTGACAGACTTTAATAAACTAAAAATAAGATGCAAAAAAATTCTTTAAAACAAAAAATGCATTTTAAAAGATATTTTAACATCAAATCAAATAAAATTTTATTTTCCGTAATGTCAAATTTTATAATTTCATTATCGTGATTCTATGGCGAAAAGTCGATGCAACCTCCCTTTCTCTATTGTAAAATGAAAATCTTAATGCTGGATTGTAAATATTGGCAATTTGGTAATTTGTGTGTTTTTCATTAGCTAATTGTTCAATCTCAATTTTTTCTGCTCTTTCACTTAATTTAGGACTTGCAGAATTAGTATAGTTTAAAATAATAGCAGGCACCATTTTTGAACAATCTCTAGATGTTGTAATAAACTAAAATTTGAATTTGTTTTTATCTTTATATTTTTAAACAAATTACTTCTATAATAAGATCATGAAGCTTTGTCAACTTGAAACTTCTTAAATAAATTTTTGGGAATTTATTGCCTTCATTTATTATAATATTGTATAAAATATTTGTATATTGCTCTGAAATGTCAAGATTATTTATATGTAAAATGATGCTAAGAGATTCAGAAATTGATAAATGGTTTAAAGAAAATTTTAAAATATCTTCAAATGTTTTGTTGTCAACAGATAGATATGATTTTTGAATGTTAAATTGGAGAGGAATTGTTTTGTCGTTGTCAAATAATATATTAATCATTTCTGGATTAAATACTCCAGTATAGAAATAAGCACGATCAAAAGCGCACTTAAATAGTTGTTCTAACAAACAACGAACAATGATCATTTCTTCAATATTTTTTGGAAGATTTGGCAATTTTAGGAGATAATTTGTTCCGGCCCTATATGAAATTAGGTTGGGAATCGTTTTTCTTCACAACTTTTTTTATTTCTTTTTTCCTTTCTTGACATAACATAATGGTCAGCATTTTCTTCCTTGTTCAATTCCATTAAATTTGCCTGTGGTATATAGGACAGAAAAACACACACACGGACAGACTAAACTCAGACTATAACGAAAATAAGGAAAAAATATTTAAAAATTAATCCTTTTCTTTATCATCAATCATTTAATTATGCCACAGCCAAATTTAATGCAACTGAACAAGGAAGAAAATGCTGACAATTATGTCATGTCAAGGGAGGAAAAAAGTAATGAAAAGAACGATTCCCAACCTAATTTCATCTAGAGCTGTTGTTCCTTTCTTAAATAAATAGGGACGTGTTTTTCCAATACAAACAAGAAAGTCGCTGACAGGTCCAAATTTATCTAAAACCAATGGAATTGATTTATCTATCGCTGTCTTCCACTGAAAAAATAAATGGATAAGTTACCTAATTCAAACTATATTTAACCTTCTTCTTAAGTTGATCAGTCAAATTAAATTCAGAAACTCCAAACTCAAGTGCAATGAATTTATATGACGGTAACCAACGAATAAAACCATGATCAATCCAAAATTAATTTAAATTTAAAAAATATTAAATATTTACTATTGCAATTTTTCTGAATTTCATTCGTGCCAATTCTCCCTCATATTTATTAATTAAATTGCAAAAGTAAAAGTTGGTTTGTTTAATAGAGAATAATTGGTTGAAATCCAGATATTTTAATACATCAAGCTGAACTTCAGGTGGGAGAGAAAACATTTTAATTTTATCTAGAAAAGCTTATTAGCCAAAAAGATGAAAAACAATTAAATATCCAATATGTTAATTACCAAGTAACAAAGATTTAAATTATTAGTAAGGCTGTGATTTATAGGCAAATGCCTATTTTTTCTGCAAGCTTGGGATGATGTAATACGTTCAAAAAACGTGTTTTTAGCTTGGTCCGAAGAGTCTAGCGTGACTTTTAATTTGCCTATTTCTGCCTATTTTGGACTTTTTGTGCCTTCTTGCCTATTTTGAAATTTTTGGTACTATTTTTGCCTTTTTTAGCGATTTTTCCTAAATTTTGCCTAAAAACCGGTGAAAAATCTAAAAAAATCAGTCCCAGATTTAAAAAAATCAGTGCCGACTCCAATTTTTAATTTATAATTAGACGAATTGATTATTTTTACTCTGATGGACATTTTGAGATTAGGCGTTTTGGTAGTGGGACATTTTGTGTTTGGACGTTTTGTCGGTTGGGCGAGATTTCCCTTTTGTCATTTATCAATATTTTTTAAAAATTTAACATTTTTTGAAAAAATGAGGCAAAATGGCGAATAAATTGCAAAAAGTTTTAATAAAATAGTTTATCATTCAAAAAATGACGAATAAATGGGTATTTTTTAATTTTAAAGGTCTGTTAGCTCATTTTACCTGCCTATTTTTGTGCCTTTTTTGGCTTTTTGGTGCCTATTTTAGGCGCCTATTTCACTGATTTTACATGCCTAACTATCACAGCCTTAATTATTAGATACAACTTTATTGACCCAGACACTGGACGTAATATTAAAAATGTAGAAGGAATGGGGTAATGCAATAAGGAGGAATAAGGAGCAAAGTGAACAGCACGCATCATTTTATGAGTTATTTTGCTGAATTTATGTGCTTGGTGAAGGAGGAGACGTTTTTGAAAAAATTATGCTTGCTTGGGGTAAATATTGGTCATTTGCCTTAGGTACTTATTTAGTTTCCCACCCCCAGTCAGTCTTTCCGAAAATTATGTAAAAATGGTCAGTCTGAACAACAATTGTAGTACCCATCGAGCTGTGTCGAATGACACCAAAATCAACAAATTGCCTTACTGCTCGTCGAGATGAGTCAAATGACACCATAATCAACGAAATCAGACTTCATTTGACAAAGTTATGACCGTTTGTTTTGACCCCGAATATAAAAAATAATTTTATTGAAAATTTTAATGAAATCAACATTTTTAAAATATTTAATTATGAAATAAATCAAATTTTTCGTTAATAAAATTCTACTCTTTCGTTATTTTGATTCGAACATCAAAATTTTCCCATTCTTCATTGCAAACTGTGAATTTCACTTTTGAATTATGAATATTGGCAATTTGATAATTTGTAGATTTTGCGAAATATAATTGTTTAATTTCAGCCTTCTCTGCTCTTTCACTTAATTTAAGACTAGTGTGACTACGATACTTTAAGATAAAAAAATCCTTGAGAACAAAAGCCCCCTTAATCCCTTGAGCCGGAAAGTAAATTATGCGTCTATGAGACTTAAACTCAATATTTCAGCACCGCAGTGCAATTTTAGAATTATAATGAGTCGTATGTGAAGAAAATAAAAATTTAAAAATTAAAAGAAATTTTTTTTAGTAAATCCCGATCCCGATTTTCTAATCTCGGTCCCGATTCGGGATCGGGATCGGGATCTCCAGTCCAAATCCCGATCCCGATTTCGGCTAATCCCGATCCCGTGTCGGGATCCGGGATCGGGATCGGGATCACCATTCCTAAATCCCGATCCCGGGTTTTTCTCGAAATCCCGATACCGCTGAACTCTAGTCAAAACAAACGGTCATAACTTTGTTAAATGAAGTCTGATTTCGTTGATTATGGTGTCATTTGACTCATCTCGACGAGCAGTAAGGCAAATGACGAATATTTACCTTAAGCAAGCATAATTTCTTCAAAAACGTCTCCTCCTTCACCAAGCACATAAATTCAGCAAAATAACTCATAAAGTGAAGCATGGTGTTCACTTTGCTTCTTATTCCTCCATATTGCATTACCCCACATTTCTTCTACTTTTTTAATATTACGTTCAGTGTCTGGGTCAATAAAGTTGTATCTAATTGAAATTTTTGTTATTTGGTAATTAACATATTGGATATTTAATTGTTTTTCATCTTTTTGGCTAATAAGCTTTTCTAGATAAAATTAAAATGTTTTCTCTCCCACCTGAAGTTCAGCTTGATGTATTAAAATATCTGGATTTCAACCAATTATTCTCTATTAAACAAACCAACTTTTACTTTTGCAATTTAATTAATAAATATGAGGGAGAATTGGCACGAATGAAATTCAGAAAAATTGCAATAGTAAATATTTAATATTTTTTAAATTTAAATTAATTTTGGATTGATCATGGTTTTATTCGTTGGTTACCGTCATATAAATTCATTGCACTTGAGTTTGGAGTTTCTGAATTTAATTTGACTGATCAACTTAAGAAGAAGGTTAAATATAGTTTGAATTAGGTAACTTATCCATTTATTTTTTCAGTGGAAGACAGCGATAGATAAATCAATTCCATTGGTTTTAGATAAATTTGGACCTGTCAGCGACTTTCTTGTTTGTATTGGAAAAACACGTCCCTATTTATTTAAGAAAGGAACAACAGCTCTAGATGAAATTAGGTTGGGAATCGTTCTTTTCATTACTTTTTTCCTCCCTTGACATGACATAATTGTCAGCATTTTCTTCCTTGTTCAGTTGCATTAAATTTGGCTGTGGCATAATTAAATGATTGATGATAAAGAAAAGGATTAATTTTTAAATATTTTTTCCTTATTTTCGTTATAGTCTGAGTTTAGTCTGTCCGTGTGTGTGTTTTTCTGTCCTATATACCACAGGCAAATTTAATGGAATTGAACAAGGAAGAAAATGCTGACCATTATGTTATGTCAAGAAAGGAAAAAAGAAATAAAAAAAGTTGTGAAGAAAAACGATTCCCAACCTAATTTCATATAGGGCCGGAACAAATTATCTCCTAAAATTGCCAAATCTTCCAAAAAATATTGAAGAAATGATCATTGTTCGTTGTTTGTTAGAACAACTATTTAAGTGCGCTTTTGATCGTGCTTATTTCTATACTGGAGTATTTAATCCAGAAATGATTAATATATTATTTGACAACGACAAAACAATTCCTCTCCAATTTAACATTCAAAAATCATATCTATCTGTTGACAACAAAACATTTGAAGATATTTTAAAATTTTCTTTAAACCATTTATCAATTTCTGAATCTC